CATCGCGTTTGTACGAGCGTCGTAATTTTAGCATCAAGGAAACCGAGCTAATGATATCCAACGATATGTCATTTCTACCTTAGACACTCCCTAATTCGGTACAGATTTACATTCTCTCTAGGCAGATAAGAATCCAAGTATGCGCCATTATCACGCTCTCTTGTAGAATTTTCCTATCGCAAAATCATTTTTACGTGATAAAATATCATTGTGTGCTGCGATTACCAAACTTTCGTAAATATATAACATATATATTAAATGTAAAAAGATACTATCAGTTGTTAACTCTTTGATAGAGATTATTAATTTCGATCTTTCATTGTATTATTTGACTTTCGCCAGATTTAAAAAAATTCTAAATAATAAAAATTAGAGTAATAATAATTATAAATATAATAAAATCAGTGATGTGTGTAAAATAATCAGAAAAAATTTAAAATAAAAGTTAGTAAATTTTTAGGTTTCTCGTGTAATTTGGCAAATATAGAATTAAATAATTATTTTAGTAAGTTATATACAAATAATTTTAGATTTTTTTTTTTAAAGCACGTTTTATATTAAAGTATTTAAAATCATAGAATTGATTATATTCCTTTGATTAAGACCTTTGAACGTAAATGATGAGTCAGTAGATCAAATTTAAAATTGTCGGACAGTTTTGATCCATTAATAATAGATTAATTATAAATACATCATACATATATATATATATATATATATGTGTGTGTATATGTATGTAAACTGTGTTATCTTCCAGAGAGACACTACGAAACGTAATTGCCACGTTCCGGTAAGCCAATAAAAGGTGTATATAATAATTAGTTCTCTCAGATCCATTAAAGATTACAAAAATATTATTACTCACGTGAGTTAGCGTGTGCAATTTTCTAAAGAATATTTTCTTGGCACGAAAGTTCTAACGAAATATATAAAAGTTTATAAAAATGATAAAGATGAAAATCTACATCAAAATAAACATTTCGTAATTGTATTCTATTCTAAACCTCTCATCTCAAAAGACCTCAATTTAACAGGTCCTTGTTTTTGAGATTTATAGATTTATAAATTATTATGGTATTTGATTCTTTTAGTTTTTGACTTTTTAAAAATTTATATATACGTGTGTGTGTGCGTGTGTGTGCGAATATGTAAATATATGTATACGTACATACATACACTGAGAAAAAAATAGCCTAAATTTAAATAAATATTTATTTGAATACTGCCAACTAAACATACTTGCTTACAATAAATAAATATTTACTTAATAAAAAGAAGTGCTTGTTAAACCAAATTAATGTTTTGTTGTACCAAATAAATATATTTTTATATTTAATAAATATTTAGTTGGTACTATTCAAATAAATATTTATTGAAATAGGATATTTTTTTTCAGTGTATATATACATATACATATATATGCAATTGAGGGAAAAAATATGCATTTTATTCCTTACAGGTATATATACTAATACCAATTGATATTATTAGTCAATTATGCTTGATAAACGGGCTGTCAGTGAGCGATATCGCAGAAAATCCCATTCGATTTCGATATTCTCTTACTAATATTGCCATACTCGACGCTTATAAACATAACGCGCTAACGATTATCCGCTTAACTCACTGACAGCTGACATTAGCACACGAATTCCCTTGCGAAGCGGTCGCGCGTTCTCTCGCGCATTGCTTTTGATACTCTCAGTTCTATCTACGCTCACCTTTCTACAAGTGATAGGACTATAACGTGTACACATAATTTCAAACGTAAGAGACAAAAGTATTTTCACTACAGAAATTAATGTTTTTTCAAAGAGACACTATACATATCTTCTCTTCTCTCTTTATCTTCTATTCAACTTTTTTATGAAATTAGTAAAAAGATAGATATATTCTTAATTATTGAAATTTGACATTAAAAAGCACCAATTTCATATCAATTTGAAATTAATAAAATAAAATACGTAAATGTGAGTAAAATAAATTGAATGTTTGACTGAATATCTTAATTAAAAAACTGAAGAAATTAATAAAATGGTTATGTTCGTACAATAATTTTTGTATATTTCTGTTCCTAATACTATAAATTGATAAAATGTGTATGAATCGTCCTATACAGGAGTTAGAATGCCAAGTATATTACAGACATATTTCCGTATTTAAGTTACAATTTATTTCAACGTCAAGCAAACTGAGATCTCTGCGTTTCATTTGTCTACGGTTTTTGAAAAAAAGGTGACTGGTATGAAGCCGAACGGGTTGAGATGAATCCTAATTGTCTACACAATCTACAATTCCAGGCCAGCTATTTCTAATTCATCTCTAATGCATTTTCTGTTATTAATATCATTAGTATTAAATTGCCTTCGCCTCGAAAGATAACTTCGTATCTGTACCTATAATCCTTTATTTTACCATTGCTGATGATCAACTGCATTATTCTTATAGAATATATATCTTTATTATCGAAAACGTTCGAAGAATAAAGAAATGGAATATTGTTAAGAAGATACTTTGACATTGATTCATGTGCACAGGTTGCAGCGCCGATTCCTAATCGCCCTTTTGTTAAGTTATTAATCTTTATTATCGAAAACCGAAATGCTATTGAAATCAAAGTAATTCCACGTTCTTCGGAAAAATTAAAAAGTCTTAGAATTGCATCGGCTATTCCATTATCGTTTTCCTCATTTGAATATGATTGGAAATTAATTGTAAAGTGATGTACCATAAAATACAGGATGTGCATATGCATACAAGACAAGTGCACGCAGGTGCATTCCGTTCGAGGGGGGGATAGAGCAGCGAGATATGGGAGGAGTTCCCTGCGAGTGCTCTCTCCGTCTCGTTGAAGAGACCACTCTCGCGGTGGCAGAGGTGGTCTCTGCTCACCTGAGCGTTTCAGGTGGCAGTCGCCCTGCTGAGTCGTTCAGCGACGGGTTCTTCTCGCGTGAGCGCTGCGAGCAAGCGCGATTCGCCAGAGAACACACGACGACGATCCCGGAAATTTGAGATCCGCGAATTCGAGACCGCGGCGATTGAGATGTTGAGCAAATCCGCGAGTATTCTCGATGCGACCCGGGAATCGCTGACAATCTCTCAAATTTTCCTTCGTAGATCTATGGAGCATCCATCATATCTGTTTCTATAAATGCAATACTTAGGTTGACACTTAGATCTAACTAGACGAGAACAATTCAATAGGATTCTTTTAGTCTAATAAACAGATCGTTGTGAATTGAACTTTAATCAGGAACTAATTATTAAATTATATATATATATATATATAGACTGATTTGACATTTTGATAGATCAGCTGACTGATTTGATATAATTACGCACTTTCGCTGATTGAGACAAATGGACACTTCGGTGATATTATTAATCTAGCACTTGTTTATAACTGATTTAATAAATCAAAAGCATTTGTAATATTAATTAAATTTCCTGATTCAGAAATATTGCACAGTCGAAACATTTGTGTATCATGAAACATTTTATAAAAGACGATGTGATGCATCACAGCAAAGTCAAGCAAAGATTCTTTCGTCGATTGGGATAATTCATACGTTGCGACGCAGATCGACAGAGGATTGATTGAGGATTCGAAGATAGATCCATAGCGTGCAGAAAGTGCGCTTTCGAGATCTACTAATTGCGGCGATGGTCGAGGAGCAGTAATTTAGAAGAGAAGGTCGACGTTCATTAAGCGGACCAGGATGATCCCGGTGATTCGTATGTTGACGTGTGCAAAGCATATCCGAGCAGCAGGATGAATTTGTCGTGAAATCGACTCGTCCGACTGCATTCTGGTGGAATTATCAGAATATCGCGTAATACCGAGCGACTCGGAGCTGCAAAAAGTATTCGGTTAAAGAACTGATCGCAGGAAGGAAACCTCAAGTCGGAGTTTATAAGACCGTATAGAGAACGATTGGACGAGGAAGATATCTAAGTGCTCGCGTACGCGCATGTTGGTCAATGAAAACGTCTTATTGAAGATGTATCAACGTAGGATAGAGGAACGAACGTGTATTGGTCGAGAACTATGTGAAATGCGAACAATGTCGTAGAGGTAGCAATGTAATTTATTTATCGAAAGTAGACACTCGCTTCCGCGCTTTGAATTTTCCGAGCTTTCTCTGCAGACGAAGAAACAAACGATTTTTAAAGATGTTTGTATAACTTGTGTTTTATATAAATTTATAAATGTATGAAAAATATAATAAAAATATGATAAAGATGCAAATTAATCCAATTGTTAAATACGTTTTAAATAAAATATGTTTCAAAAATTTGTCCTTAGCTTTAGGACACAATAAAATAGAATTTTATATTAATATAAAAAAAAGAGAATTAAGTCAGTGTTAAAGATTTTGGATATTTAAATTTCTACGAGAGTTTGAGTCCAGGAAGACTCATCTGATTTTGATGATAAGAGTTGACTAGAAAGGAAATTAATTAATGGGCATAAAATTAAGATTTGTGAAGTTTATTGAGACTATATCGATTGACTTGATCTGCTGACTACCGAATTAATTGTAACGGTGAATAAAAAGCGAGTTTAAAAAGCGAGTAAAAAGAATTGCGGCCATTCATAAATCTTATAATGATGACTTGACAGCGGATGCCCACACCGTTATCGCTGATAAATGCCAATAATTATATAGCCATAAGTCTACGTCAAATAACAGAGTCAACAAATGTCATTTGTAAATGTGAATCGATCGATCGCGTGTTAACAAGAACTCACACGCGACTCGTAAAGACTCCCAAAACAAGATTCCGTTGTAACGGTATCATCAAAATTATAATTATTGATGCCATCGTTATGAATATTTTGAGTCATAAAAATAGCAAAATAAACGACTGAACTTGCTCGAAAAAAAAGATAAGTGATTTTCATTCGAATTTGTATAAATTTTAGTGAAGACTGAGAAAAAAAGGACATTCAAAGATTTCATCTTCGCGAATTTCCTTGGAAGATGGCTTTACGTGAAAACTAACGATGGAATGGACAACAATTCGATTGAAGAGCAATTGTTGAGAACTTTCGAAGTTTTGCAAAGATATTGCTTTCCCAAGTGCCGTAAAGTCAAGTATATGGATGAAATAGCCAAGGACTTTCCACAGGGAGTGCTTATTTCCGTGAGTGTCTCGGGCAATCATTGATCATAAACAAGTGGAGCATGATGGGAGAAGTGATCCGCGTTTCTGGGAGGGCACCGGATGTCGGTGACATTCTGAAGGAGGCCATGTTGTCGCAGAGGTTCGCTGATGTGGCCCTGTGCTGTCCAGGAGGTCAGCGATTCCTCGCGCATCGTTTAGTTCTGTCAGCAGCCAGCTCTTATCTTCAGGTCGATATAAAATAAAATGATTGCAGTCTATTATAATTAATTGATAGTATCATAATTACCTAATAGTAATTTATTATAATTAACAGTAATTAATAATTAAATCTATCATTATAGAAATGACGAGTTAATTTTTTTTTAATCAATTGAGAGATTAGAAAAAAGTTAACAGTTTTTTTTATTTTCTTCTTTATAACACACATTTAAATTGGATCGATTGATTAAATTAATTTGAGAAATTAAATAAGATCTAAGCTATGTTTTATTTATCGAATTTCACTCTCTTTTCTTTGAATATTTATTTGGTAGATAATATTAATGTAATGCGTTACCAATAATCAAAATACAAAGTTGCTTGATATAACGCACATTTAAATTGGATTGATTGATTAAATTAATTTGAGAAATTAAATAAGGTCTAAGCTATGTTTTATTTATCGAATTTCATTCTCTTCTCTTCGAATATTTATTTGGTAGATAATATTAATGTAATGCGTTACCAATAATCAAAATACAGAGTTTCTTGATATCGTCATAATTAATATTCTTGAAGTAACTATTTACCTTAAAATAACAGAAAGTTAATTGTAAAGGATAATTATATCGTCCTGGATTTATATACGCAACTTATAGAAAGTTTCACAATATGACATTTCTCAAGTGCATTCATTTGAGAGAAGCTCTTATATTACTGTTACTCGTATCTTCGTCCATAATAAGAGACGCACAATAAAAGAAAATATGACTCGCGTTGCCGTTTAATTAGCGGGTTGGTTACTGGATAACAGACACGAAGTTATTAATCCCGCACTTGAATGCAAATGCATTTCGCGGCGGATGTTTCTCGTTCGCCCATGCTGGCTTGTATTCGACCGCGCGCGTAAGTAAACCATCGTCGCGATATAAACCGATTGTGTGCGCACCGCTGACGAGTGTTTAATGCCGCCGAATTATGTCACACGGAAATAAAGATAATGCGATATCGCAACTTCGCACCCGAGGTTTCTTGAAACCGCGCCGACACGTTATGATGCGCGTCGCGCTCTTGCGAACTCACTGAGTTGCGCGATCGTTAAACTATTGCGCCACTAGATCGGAACATGAGCGCAAAATTAACGAGACAGGTGCGATAGTAGACTTGGCGATATTAATGTGCAACAGAAAACATGTATTCCTAATACTTCTCGGTGTGTACATCCTTCGAGGCGATTATTTCTTAAAGAGTTGTCCTGTATTGAGTCAATGAAAAATAAATTGATTTTATTTTTTAAAGAATTATCCTGTACTGAGTTGACAAAAAATAAAACTTTTCTCATTTTAGTTAACGAAAATCAGATTATAATAAATTGAAAACTGTAAAAACTAACTTCGTTTTTTATTCATTTGGGTTATTTCGGAACTTTGCTCTTTCTCTAATGCCCACTTGATTCTATTATTATAGTGCAATTATTAGTTTTTGTATCGTTTTATACCCAATTTCTCGTGCGTTTCAATTTACTTTATTATACGTTGAGCTCATTCGGTTAAACGAGAATTCAATTATAATACATTGAAAAACCGTGATTGTTTGTTATTTATACGAATTCTCTTAAAATTACTTTTAATTTCCAATAGCCACTTGATTGCGTTTTCATTACACAATTATTGGTTGTTACACCATTTTACATCTAACTTCTCTTGCGCGTTCAAATTTACTTCATTTTATGAGTTGCATTGTGTGCTGCATTATGTTTGTACAGTTAAATATTATATATAATTTGACTACAATGCATATCTAGAATTATAATAAATAAGATCTTTTACATATACTCGAATTCTTTTGAAATTTTGTTCTTTCAAACTTCCTTTAATTTTTAATGTCCACTGGATTCCGTTATCATGGCGCGATTATTAGTCGTTGTCTTTTTATACTTAATCTTTTTCGTACTTATTTTATTTTACGCTCCGTTGTTTTTATCACATAAAATTCTTAAGTGCAGTTTTACGTGAGTAGAATCTTGCTGCGGAAAGAAAACCTAGGAAATAAATCCCGATGCACACGCCAACGTGCAACGTAATTACAAAGTAATGTCGCGTCAGCGACGTGAAAATTGTCAATTATGCGTCGCTGCCGCGATTTGTGCGTCGCGTGGCGCGATGAATTGCGCTTTCTAAACTCTAGCAAACGGAATGCCGAAAAGAAAAATTTCCCGTACTTCCTTACAAATCGAAATTTGTTAAACGAGCTCAGTCCACTCGTTTTATTGACATTTTATTTTATTCCACAAATTCTTATTTGACTTTTTAAAAGGATATTTAAATGCATAACATAACGTACCTCAATTTCTGCATTATTTGCAATATTTTGCGGTTGAATTTAAAAAAAAAAGAAATATAAATAATACCAATTGAAGGCGGAATAAAAAGCATTGCGATTGTGATGCGTTAGAAAGGCAATCGCTCTTCCCGCGTCTCACATCGGAGAAAGAAAAAATAAGGAAAAGGAAGAAAACGATGTCCGCAAAAGGTTTGCTCTCTTGTTGCAACAAATATGGCAACCTTGACTTTAATGTTGGCAGATATCGAGATCTTTGTTGTCGTAAAGACGTACGGCGCATTTCTACAGCACTAGACAACCCTTTTACGGTTCTTGGTACCGGATCGTCCGAGTAATGCATCTTTCTGGTACTGCCATTCGTGGAGATTCCCAAGTCCTGGCATCTCGATTTATTACCATTTGACCCAGTACCTGTTTACTCCACGTAAGATTCCCACTTTTTCTTGCGCTCTTTCGTGCGTCGCGTGGCGCGAAAAGAGAAAAATAACTATATGCCCAGCGCGACATCACTGTTCCTTTAAAAAAACGTAAATAAAATAGCAGAGTCAAAATATTAAACAATTTTTATACTTAGACTTAAAGTTATACGTATTTTCATTCGTAACTTTAACCATATTTTTTAACTAATCAGAAGTATTATTGAAAAGGTATTAATTAAAATTAAAATTAAAAATATACCTTTATAATATTATACTTTTTATTAAATGTTAGAAGAAATAAAATAAAAGAAGAAGATATCTTACATATTCCCTCTTCCACCTCTCCCTCGTCTATCTTAAATTATATATTCTATATTTTATTAAAATATTTTAAATGTAATAGTATTTTAAATATAATAGTTTTAAAAATATAATTAGTGTCCTTTTGCATCGAAAAATATAAGATGACATTTCTTTTTCTATTAAATAAAAATGTTGCGTTGTTCAAAGAAAAAGTTATTGTTCCGTATTTTTTTCAGAACACACTTTTATCGATAAATGCACTTTTTATTTTTGAAATTCTGTAGTATGTGAAATGTAAACTATAACTATATATTAAATAACATTGTTATAAGCGTGTTCTGAATACGAGCCATAAAATATAATTTTATAGTTTTAAAATGATTAGTATATGCATTTGGAGCAATCTCATTTTATTTGTTCATCGTTTGAAGCGAACATTTCATGCGACAATTTCATTGATGCACGTCTCACGACTAATTAATCAGTTAATGAGAACCATAAAAAGATTGTTATCCGATTTTGTAGTAATTCAATCTAATAATTTCTAATAATCTAATATTTTCGCGCGGTAAAGTAATTCGCTACAAACAGAAATAACTGAAAGAAAATGAAATAAGTAAACGAATGTGAGTTGTTAAACATCTATATATGATTTAGCCACAATTTCTGAATTTTTATTGCAAAATAAATTGCATGATTTACAACAACACGCTATAGCATCACCTCGAAATTGACAAATTCACATGATATTCTAACGTGAATGACTTGATTCATGCATATAATCGAGTGTACGTATATATA